ACGGAGAGCGTCTGACTCCTGCAACTGGGACCTGACTTCTCAAGGGACAGGGACACGGCTGCGTGGCACACAATGATGGAAGTCCTTGGGCATGTTGGTAACAAGAGAGCCCCTAATTCCAGTGGCTTAAAACAGCCCCCATTCACCCCTCGGTCAGAGTTTGGGTCCCCTGCTGTTCAGCAGAAGAAGGTGCTCATGAGGTCCCTCAGGGCCAATGTTAGGGCAGCTCCACCTTGATGGAGCAGCCACTGCCCGCGCCCTGCCAGCGCCAGGCTCACTGAGGCCTGAGCATTAAGGCCCACTGCCAACTGGCTGCGTGGAGAACCCTCTGGGTCCTCATTTCCGGGTGAGGGTCACCCCCAGCATGCTGGTGACCTTGCCACGCTGCTCAGCAGGAAGGAGTAACTGTGACATGTTCAGAAAATTGAACTTTGGGTAATATGACAGTGGATAAGTGCAGAGGGAGCAGAGTTGGGCAATGACAGGAAATCTCTGGTCTACGAATGGTCCACTGGCCCTGTACCAATGTCACCTGTAAGCTGTGGAGACAGCAGAGCAGGAGGCCGCCACCCAGTCCTCTGACTTGGAAGCAGCATTTTACATTTTAACAAGTTCCCCAGGGAATGTGTACACACAGCAGCGCCCTGGAACTGTTTAGCTAGAGCAGGGATTGTATAGCCAGAGTGCTTGTGACTGAGTCCGTCTGTCACTTTCTGGCCCTGAGACTTTGGACAACTTGCCTAAATTCTGAATCTCACTTCCATCGTCTATAATGAGCTGGGGAACAAAAATAATGCTGTAGGATCATTTCGAGGAAAGAATTAGTTAATGCCTTCGAACTGCTTAGAACAGAGTCTGGCACAATGTAAGGAATCAGTGAATATGAGTTGGTGATGATGGTGTAGCAAACACAGTAAAAGGGAGATCAGTATGATTACATTCATCAGCAATCTACTCTGGAGCTTTTTAACCCAGGTCCGACAGTATGGCATCATTTTCTGACCCTGAAGCCTAGTGGAAGGGTGAAATCTACTCTGGGTTCTACCCATGAAGGGGAGGGGAGTCAGGCAGGCACCACGTGGAAACGAGATAAGGACCGGGCAAGGGCATTTGAGTACGGGTCTGATGGCTGAGTCACAGGCCACAGCCACCTGCATCGGCCCCTTGCCCATCGGAACCTGCCCATGGTCCCTCCAGAGACAGTAAACGCCACTGAGGCTGAGTTGAAGCACGCGCACCGGAATGCACAGGGCTGGGAGCTCTGCCCATGTGCAACATCCAGCGCAGCTCATGGAACAACCATTCTTCAGTGCTTATTCTAAGAGTCCAGCAAACGTCACCAGGCACTAAGGTGACCTGGCGAGTGAGACCTGATGAGGGTGGGTGACACAGACACTGGCGAAGGGATGGACACACCTGACCACACCCGTATGCACGCCCGGACACAGACCAGCCCAGCGATGCTGTGAACAAGGCTCAGACTGCAGTGCCCAGGTCCCGCCCCAGCTCCAGCCCTTCCCGGAGGATGACCTTGTCTTCAAGAAGCCCTTCCACCCCTGGGCGTCTGTCTATCTGCCTGCAAACTGGCGATAACAAGAACAGGCATGCATAGTGTGCTTAACAGAATTATTGGCAATGAACAAGTGCCTAACAGATGCTAATAGTCACTGTCATCAGCAGTAAGTAAATGAGCTAAAGACAAAATGAGTGAGTCTCAGGCTCCTGGTTAGGCAGATGGGGCCAGGGTGAGGGTTCATCTTTGTGCACACAGTGCGGGAGGGGTGAGGATACGGAGCTGGCTGGGTGAGACGTTGTCTTCCCCGGCGCTGACGGGATGAGAAATCAGTGGAAAAGGCTCCTGAGACAGCGCGTCCCCATGGGCGTGGATGGCGCGAGGCTGGAACGTTTATCACCTGACGCAGAGAGGGAGGAAGGCCCGGTTCCGGCTCCCCTCCCCGGCCTCCCCCGCCCCGCCAGCCCGAGCCCCTGGGCTCTGCGGAAGGAAGAGACCTCGTGGGGGGTCACAGCTCACTCCCACGCATCCCGATTTGAACTCAGGCCCAGGCCACGCGGCTGCTGCTGAGTTGAATCTAAGACCTTTCCTGGTGCTAGCAAGTGACAGAACCTGTCCCCCCTGGCCTGCCACTCCTCCGCACTGGGCACCCCAGGTCGCCAGCTCCAGGTCACCCCTTCCTCTCCAGGATCCACACCGATCCATCAGCAGGTCCCACCGGCCCACCTTGAGCAGCAGCGGCGGCTGGTCTGGGTCACTTTCTCCTGCCCTGGTCTCAGCCCCGGACTCGGGATGGCTGTGGGCTCCTGACTGGACCTCCGGCTCCTCTGCGGCCCCCTGCAGGCCACGAGTGGCACATCGCAAAGGACAATGAGGCCCAGCGCCGGCCTTTGTCCTTTCAGTCTCCCCAGCCTGAGAAGCGTTTCTCCCGGAAATCCACCTGCTTTCCCTCGCTGCACCCACAGCCCCTAAACCTGCACCCGATCAAGCTCCCCCGTATCCACTTTCCTTCCACTCACAATGCAACTGTCTCCAGGAGGTGTCCTTGGTATTGCTTCAGAGCCTTTCCTCTGCACTGGAACATAAGACCGGGGTCTAGGGGCCTTGCCTGCTGTGCCACTGCTCAGGCCTCGGAGTACGCGAGGCACCACGTCAGCGAGTGGGAAGTGCTGAGTGGATGCAGGGTCAGAGGGCCGCACTAGAACCTGCCTCGAGTGCTGCCATAAGGGCTAAACAGACGGATGGTGTCAGAGAGCTCGGTGTGCGCCTCTCTCCCCTCTTCCTTCCTTCTCGGGTGCTGTCTCCCGGGAGCTCCAGTGATTAGGCCTGCAGAGGACCGCAGCTGCCCCTTGAGGCCGGGCCGTGGCCCTTCCTGGCCCTGTCTCGGGGATACACTCACGTGGGCCGGTGTGAGAAGGGCCTCAAATTGGCAAGCTCCACCTTTCACTTGGCACAAGGCTCACAATTTGGAACTTGAGCGTGACAAACAGGATCTGAAGTTGCCTCTCCAGCCATTGGGGGCCGCCCGACTCTCCCGTGACTGGGCTGCAAAACCAACTGACAGCCCTGCGCCCAGTCCCCAGGGAACCCAGCGGAGGCCTCTGAGGGGAGCCACACTCTGATGTTCCGAGTCAAACTCAGAAGAGCATCTGGAAGTAATTTAAACTAAGGAATTAGTGATTTGGAGGCTAAGTAGTAACATGACTTTTAAAAAGTAAATACAAGAGACTTTAGCCCATGATCCTCAAGGTTCACACTTCCACTTGTGTGGATTTTCCTAACGAAGGTAAATCAGCCGACTCTTCGTCTGGGTGCCGGCTCCGGGTGGCTGACTGGCTGCTAGAGGGACCCACGGTGTCCTGGAGGGGGGCGAAGGGAAATTCTGGGCTCCCGGGCCCATTCCGGAGGGACCAGGAAGGCGGAGACTCGGGGACCCGACCTCTGCAGAGAGCAGGGCCCTGGTCAGGCGGCAGGGCCTCTAGAGGACCCCACGGGGCTCGCCCCACCAGGGCTCTGCTACTCTTCTGTAATTCTCTCCTCCTTTTGAATCGCGGTGCCTTTTGGTGTGATTTCTTCAACTTCTTTCTGTTTGGAATATTTGCACCACCGAGTCCTGCGCTGCAGTGGGAGAACAGTGTTCGAGGAGCGGAGGGCCCTTCGGGGCTTTTATTTCTTGTTCCTAGTCCGGGGCAAGAAGGAGAAAGGACGAAGCAGACTCCAGTCCCTTAGACAGAAATAATGGGGCGCGCTGTAGATCTCGCTGGCGGTGGTAGGAGGCTAGAAAGATTTAAATGAAAGATATTTACACTTCTGAGATCAGGTTTAGGACCAGAGGAGAAACTGCGCCTCCTTCAGAAGCCTCCAGGAGTCCCTTGGCAGAGGTTGGGGCCGTGTCTACACCCGCGGAGGCTGGAACAGCTGGACCATCAGGCAGCAGCAGGAGCCACTTAAAAAGTGAAGTCCTTCCACCAGGCGGGCGGGAACGCGCGGTCCACTTCCGAGTCGGGCCGTGGTTCCTGGCGCCTCCTCCAGCAGACCCGGACCCCCGACCCGCCTGCCCGGCGGGGCGCCCTCCGGAGCCGGACCGGACGCCAGCCCTGGCACGCCCGCACGGAGTCCTTGCTGGGGGCTTGGGGGCCCGGCCCCGGCCTCTTCCTCCAGAGGCTGGACTGGGGCGCGGGGTGCGGGAGCAGAGGGAGGGGACCCGGGCCGGTGGAGGCCGAGCCGGCTTCCCCTGCGGGCGGGAGCGTCCTCGCGCGCCCCCATGGAATCTGGGGCGTGAGCGCGCGCGTGTGCACGTGCGCGCGCGCGAGCGGCGGGAGCTGTCTTACCCCGTGGTTCCGAGAGCGCTGGGCGGATGCGCCCCGAGCAAAGGCTGCGCCGCAGCGGCGAGTCCGCGACCCGACCGCCTCCCTCACACCCAGGGCGCCTGCACCGCTCACGCGCGTGTCCCCGCCGCGCACTGCAGACAGGCCCGGGGTCGCCGCCCTGGAAGCCCAAGCAGCAGGAAGTTGGGCAGGGGCGGGGCCCCCGGGAGGCGGGGACAGCGGGTGCAGCGCGTTGGGTCGCGGGCCCCGGGCGGAACCGGGCGGACTGCGGGCGGGAGGCTGCGGAGCGGGCGCTGACCCATGGACTCGGGTCCCCGCCCGCGCAGCAGCTCAGCGCCCCGAGTGTCCCCGGCGCGGGGACGGGGGCGGGCGGGGCCTCTCGGGGGCGGGGCCTTGTGGGCGGGGCGGGATCGGTGGGCGGGGCCTCTCGGGGGCGGGGCCTTGTGGGCGGGGCGGGATCGGTGGGCGGGGCCTCTCGGGGGCGGGACTGGCGGCCCAGGCGGCGCTGGAAAAAGTTGTCCCGGGCGCAGCGCGAGCAGCCTGGCGGCGCGGACCCGGGCGTGGACGCCGAGACGCAGCGGCCGGGTGGCGGCCGGGGCCGGGCATGGGGCGGACGGAGGGCGCCTTGGGCGGGCGGAGCGGACCGGGACGGCGGCGGGCGGCCTGACGGCGGCAGGATGCGCTCCGAGGGCGCGGCCCCCGGGCCGACAGCGCCGCTGTGCGGGGCTCTGAGCCTGGTGCTGGGCGCGCTGCTGGGCAGAGGTGAGCAGGGCGCGGGCGCGGAGGGAAGGGGACCCAAAAGCGGGCGCGGAGAGAGCCCCACAGCCGATGCGGTGGGAACCGCGTCGGGCCGTGTCCACCCAGCGCGCCTCTGCGGAAGGCAGGACGGGTGGGCCCGGGGCTGGGAAAGTTAGCCAGGTCCGGACCCCCCAGCCCACCCAGAGCACCCCGTCCTGAGGGCTGCTCCGGGCGAGGAGGGGGCGTGGCTGGGCGCTGGGCGCTGTCCGGGCCCCGGGCGCCCGCCGGCCCGCACCGTCACGCCTGGAGCTGTGTGTCGGTGTCCCGCGCCCCTCTCCTCCGCGCTATGCGCGCCGCATTCCCAGCTCAGGCGAAGCGGCTTGGGGTGCGGGACGCAGACCCGGCCCTCGGCGTTCCCTTTCGGCAACCACCGGGTCCCAGGACCCACGCTGCTTCGTCGCGCCCCTCGCCGGGACCCCAGGATGGGCTGGCAGGAACCCGGGGCTCTCCGCAGGTGCCCCAAATGTGGGCCAGTGTGTTTGGGGGCGCGCGAGGGGAGGCCAGTGCAGGTCTTGCGCCCGAAGGGCTTCCCCCAGCTGAGTCTCCGGAGAGCTTCCCCTGGGTCGCCTTGTCCGAGCCACAAGGATGACGACTCTGCTGGGGTTTGAGGCATGCATGCGCGGGACCTGAATTGGGGCGCCCAGAGGACCCCCACAGGTCCTGTTGTCATCACCACCGCCGCTCCGAGACTACGCCTGGCGGCGGGGCGGGAGGGACGGTCATTGAGGAGCCTAGGAGCAGCTGCCCGGGCCGGGCGCGGTCGGGCAGCGCGGGGAGCGGTGTCGCCTCGCTGCCGCCGTGCTGGCTGGGATCTCGGTCCCGGTGAGGGCCGGGTGCGCGCGTGTGTCCTGCGCCTCCGTGCAGCAGGGCGGGCTACGCACAGCCGGGGGCTCTGAGTGAGCAGAGAAACCTCAAATCCACCCGACGCAAACCGTGATCTCGCTCCCGACTGGAGCTCCGGGCTGGGCTGGAAATGCATAGGGAGAGACAAGTTGCCAATTGGTGTTAAAAAGTAGGGCTTGCTTTTCAGAAGTCTATATGCACCGTCTGAGATTGCAGAGAAATCTGCCTCCCTGGAGGGGCCGCCTCCCCCCCCCCGGGGGGGCAAGTTTGTGTTGTGGACTCGTAAGGTGGCTGCGCCGCGTGTGGGCTGCTGTTTTATTTAAAAGCAAAAACGTTCAGGAGCCGCTGCCTGGAATCTGCTGTTGGCCCTTGGACGGTTTTCAGGGCTCAGCTTCCTTGTAGTAAAGTGACCATTTGAAATCCCTTCCCAGTGTAGCTCCCCCGATGCTAAACTGACTCAGTGACTGGGAAGCACTGGGGTGGGGGTGGGGTGGCAGGCAGGCCTCCTGCTGGTCCTCAGTCCTCCAGAGGAAGTAATCCCGGGAGGGAGGAAGCTGAATGAATGTGCCTCTCCAAGCAAGCTGTGGACTTTTCTGTTAACATTCAGATTCCAAGCGTGCATGTGTGCGTGTGTGTGTGCACGTGTGATTTAGTCCCTGCTACAGACATGCATGCCAAGGGGCCGCGGCAGCAGTTTAGTGGAACATGGACCTGGGACCCAGCTGGAGATGGGGGGATGCGGGTGGCTAATGGGCCGATCCCGCCAGTCCAGAGCCTCTGGCCAGGCGCAGGGCCGCCTGGACGAAGAGCTTTTCTCTGGCTACTGCACCGCACGGCGGTGTGATCCCCTAGCTTCTCATCCGCAAGTGTTTTGTTCTTTTGTTTTTGTTTTTGTTTTTCTTTTTCTTTTTTTTTCTTTTGGCCATTTATTTCTCACCATCCAGAAGAGCAGTTCACTCCCCCCTCTGATTCCTCCTCGAATAAAATGTCAGCCCTCTCAGACATCTTACAAAAAGGAGCGCGCTCTGACCCTTGCCTGAACATATAATGTCTTAAAAATATGTGGGTGAGGCCATCTCTGACCTGTCCTGCAAGAATCGAATGCTGATTTCTGGAATCCTTGAGACCTCTGGCCAAAGTTTAGTACCAACTGTATGTATATTTTTGACTACGAATCCAGAAGTTTTGCAATTTGCCAGGGTATGGAAAATACATAATTATTCTTGGGCGTTTCCATAAATAGACAAAGCTTTGAGAGGAGAGAGCCTTTTGCCGGGATTGAGGATTGAGGTAGCAGACACACCGTCTCCGTGTGCTGGGGCTGATGAGTCGGCTGGCACGGCAGTGGCCCAGGCACGGGGCGCTGAGATGCTCGGGGAAGTGAGTGGCCAGGGTTATCACCTGTGGGCCGTGCCACAGGGACCATAGCCTGTGCTCTGGAGTCATGGTTTTAAGATCCGGAATTACTGGGGTCTTTGGATGGTAGGACAGGGAGGGCGGGTTGTGTAGCATCACACAGGCACTGTTCACGCCCCGTGTCTGGTCTGCAGTGCTGTCCTGTAATTGAGCACATTGGTGATTTTGCCTGAAACACAGGCATCTTCATGGGGAGGAGGAGAGTAAAGGCCTAATTTGGATCATGCTTGGCTGGCGAATGAATGAAATCCCCTTGGGTGTGGGGTTCTGGTAAGGGTTTGGGGGCTGTACTGCTGTGAGGAGGAGGAGGTTTGCAGGGTGGGGAGGTCCTTCAGTGGCCCGTGCCCTGCCCACTGTGCCCTGATAGGCCATGCCTGCACGTCGGAAGCCACTCGGATAAACCGTCAGACGCTGGCTTATCCTGGTTTCCGCTTGCTTGCGGACCTCCGGACTGGCAGACAACGTGACCTGCAGGCAGGGGCTATTTTGTGTCCACCATATTTCAAAAAAAATGTTAAGTTCCCAGCATTTTAAATGAGAGGACATCACAATTTCCACATGTGTCCATGTATCAAAACATCGTGTTGTATTCCATAACTACTTACAGTTTTTATGTGTTAATTTTTTTTGTTTTAAAGATTCTATCCCCAGTTTGCCAGGAGCTAAGTAGAATTTTATGAGATGCTCCCTTAGGTCCACTGAGATGTTCAGATAAATGATCTCCTTTAGGGGACAAAAATAATCAGGATTCTAACTGCACTTAAAGGGGGCCACCGCACACCTGGGTGCGCATCTCACCCGCTGCCTTGGTGCCAGCGCCGAGCAGCTGTGCCCTCGGGTGTGTTTCTGCAGCTCGCCTCTCCCCCACTTTCCTCTTCCCCTTCTCCCTTCATTGCAGCCCCCACTGAGTGCTTGATCACCAGGGTCAGGAGAGCCGCCAGGAGCAGCTCCGAGCCCTCTGTTCAGCGGCTGGGTCGCACCTCCATGCGTGGAGGTGAAAGCAAACCCCATCTTACAGATCTCATGCATGCATGGTCATGGAGAGCGAGGGTAATAGAAACACCTCTCTGGTGTATTAATTGGAGTGAATTAATGCAATAAGTACAATGTCTGATGCATGGAAGTTTTTACAGAAATTCATATTGTCTAAAAGTTAGGTTTATTACGGTCCAATTTCATACAATAAAATTTACCCTTTTCAAGTAGATGGTTCTAAGTGGTGACGAAGGCAGAAGGTCAATATAAACCATTTCCTTCCTCTACCCCAGCCCCTAGCAACACCCCTCAGGTCTTGAACTCTAGACTTTTGCCATTTGCACAATGCCTTGGAAATGGGTCTGTGGAGTCTGCAGCCTTCACGCCGGCTGTCCGTCCATTATCACAATAGATCTATTACTCACTCTACACCCATCCTTTGTTCCTCTGCAATGCTAAACTGGATTCCATCACATGGATGCACTGCCATCTGTTTCCCAAGTCCTCATAGTCAGAGGACTTGGGAGGTTTTGGTGATCACAGAATGAGTGGCCATCAACATTCACAGAAGGGTTTTCATGGGACTCCCGTTCATTCCCCCCGGGTTGCTGTGCATTCAACTGCACTGCAGACTCTTTTTAAACATGGCTTTAACTCCACATTCCCACCCGCCATGGATAAGTGTCCGAGGTGCTTTGTGTCCCTCGCAGCACTCAATGAACCCTTTTCTGTTGTTTGTGTTCAGCCTTCTTATAGGCGGTGGGAGGGATTTCTCGGAGTTCCATGTCCACCCTTCATGACCATGTGGCAGATTCTTCCTCCTGTTTCATTCCCAGCTCTGTGGCTTCTTTGGTGAAATGTCTTTTTCCAACTCTGTGCCCGAGTTTTACTGGTTGTTTCCTTATCATTGATCTTTGAGGGGACTTTCTATATTCTGGGTGCAAGTCCTTTCTCAGATCCTGCTTTCCAATTTTCTCCCAGCAGGTGTCTTTGGAAGAGCAGAGATTTTAGTTTTAATGAAGTGGAGATTATTAATGCTTTCTCTTAATGACTGGTTTTTGGCAGCACCTGTATGTGATCTTGGCCTAACCCACGGTCAGAAGGGTTCTCTTGATGTCTACACTGGATCAGTTCTCTCCATTCCTGCTGTCTGTTCTCTAAGTTCACTGAGAGAGGAGTGTGGAAATCTCCAATGAAGTTGTGGCTTTGTCTGTTTTTCATTTCAGTTCTCCCAACTTTTGCTTCATATCTTTTGAAGCACTAATTTAGGTGCATGCACAGTTAGAATTATCATGTCCTTTTGATGACTCACTCCCTTTACCATGAGATACGACTCATAACTTCTTGGAAATATTTCTTGTTTTTAGGTCTGTTTGGTCAGACATTAATACAGCCACCTCAGCTTTCTTCTGATTAGCATTTACATGGCAGTAGCTTTCCTATCTTTTTACTTTTAATCAGTGTCTTTATATCATCCCTTATAGATAGCGTAGAGTTGAATCTCACTTGTTTATCCAATCTGATAATCTCTGCCTTTTAATCATGGTGTTTAGACCATTTATATTTAATGTGATCATTCATGTTGATAGTAAGAGTTAACATTTTGTTCATTTTTTTAGTGTTCCCTCTTTCTTTATCCCTTTCCCCTCTCTTTCTGCCTGCATTTATATTAAGTATTATTTATAATTCCACTTTATCTCCACTATTGGATCATTATTTATACTTCTTTT